GCACGTTGAAGCGAAAAGATGGTAGTCCAAAAACCTTACCTATGACAGGACCGAGGAGCTGTCCGACGACAACGAAGATACCCATGATGACACCGTAGAGCTTCATATCATCATTGTCACTAACGTCAGTAAGGTACGCTACGATTACAGGACGAGTACCTGAGTCAATATTATCTGAAGATGAGGAGGACTATTACTGTATTACCAGCCAGGACTCCTTCAAGAGCTCTGAAGCCAGCCAAACTTGCCAGATCCCAAGCGTTGGCATCAGCAAACTGAGCTCCAGTATAGAGAAGGAGGGCGATAAGGAAGAGAGGACGACGACCCACTCTAACGAATGAGAACTCCATAATGTCCTGGCCTCCTATTCGCATTACTACCTATCAGATAGAGGCCCGGTGAACAGAGATGTAACGAACATTCCTATATTGTAAGAGGACATAAGCACCGATGCTGCAGTCCCTTGACCCATATCAGGCGCCAGCTTTTTAACGTACCTAGCACCGGCAATGATGATCAACTTGGACACCAAGCTTACCAAGGGGTGATAGGTGCCATCAGTGTCGCTCCTATCCATTCTACGAGTACACTGGAGAAGACCATTCCCAGGTCTGCTACTCTCCGGGGATCAGTCCTCAGCCTGTAACGTAATCTGCTGTAGAATCCTAGCTTACAGTACTCCTCGTCCTCCTCTTCCTCTATGTTAGGCGCCATCCTCAAAGGAATATATATAATCAAACTACAACCGTACACCTCACCCCTCCACCGAAAGCCCATAAAGTCGCTGCGTATCTCGACTTCCCGCCCCCACGTAGAGAAGGCCTCGCTTGTCTCAAGGCGCTCCACTTGCTTTAACCGATGTACATTCCAGCCATCCGGGCTATTCACATATCTCCATCACAGTAAGTGACACAATAGTGCCACTTACAACGCAAGAAAATTGCAGGAAGCTGCATTGGCACTGCTACGGCCGAAGAAACTAGCAGCCTCCCTCGAATATGTTAGCCTATATCTGTCATTTCCAGGACTTGCTGGACTGTTTGTTCTACACCTCCTGACCAATTGTGACATCGTAATGTCCAATGGAAATTACGATATTTGACAACTGTTATCAATCGGGCACTGTATCAAATCAGAGGGAGATGCATAAAACCAAAGAATATCAGCGCGCGCCCTGAATGAAAAGTAAAGACTGATAGGCAGGTGATGACCGTAATGCTCTAGACTGCAAATTCCAAAAAGACCAAGAACTGCAGGTGGAAACGGAGAAAGAGAATCCCGAAACCCGACGGGAAAACCGGAAACCCGAACTGTTGCCAAACTTCTTCAGAAAAGAGGCCTATACTTGAGAAATGAGGATTTACCCGCTGTCTCAATCTGTTCGGTTTGAGATCTGCTGCATCGAGGGAATAGACTGCTAACTTGTTTATGCCGCTCTGAGCAAACGGAAGAGCTCTTCACTGCCCTTCGGGAGGTATCTAGTTCAACCTCTGCAGACTGCAGTATTCAAGCACGGCATACATGTACTCGTTAGAGTGAATTCTGCCTTGTCGTGTTTCAAATCAAACCCACTGGCAGGTAAGAGATACTGGAGATTATAGCTAGAGATATAGAATTCCTTCCGTAGATACTCGAGTATTTGCATTAAACACGTTGAGATAGTTGAGATAAGGGAACACGCGCAGCGGTAGTCAGATACTGCTCGACAGTTCGATCCGCCAATCAATGCCGACAGACCGAAATTGTCAACTCTGAGCCGAGGCTCGGGCACATCTCTAGCTCCTCGCCATGGGACAGACACCCAGTGGGTCTCATATCTCCAACCCCTGCCCATAAGTCAGATACCTGGAGGCTCTCAGTCTGAGAGTCTCAGGGGATGCCCTCCGCCACGGGACAAATATGTCGTAGACCTCAGCACCATCCTCAGCCCTCTGCCGTGGGGGACATACCTGGTGGATGTCCGGTATATAGTGGATCCTCTGCCTTGAGGGGGATACCTGGCGGCTGTCTGCGGTGTATGGGGTCCTCCGCCTAGAGGGAGATACCCGGTTGTTGTCCGAGATTTATTGGGCCCTCTGCCATGGCGGATATACCTGTCAGGTATTATCTGGTGGTCTTCTGGGATGTCTCGATCCCTCCGCCATGGGGGAGGTGCCGGCCCGAAGTCAGTGTTGTCTCCGAACCACTGCCGTACGACTCGTACGCTCCTAGTTTCTCAGGGATATTGGCAGTATATTGGAGATGCACCCGCGAAGTGTAGAGCACTAGTGAAATACATATTTCATATTTCACTACGCGAGAAGTGAAACACCCGTGTAGTATCGCGATCGCTCGGCGATCGCTGTAACTCGCGTATAACTGGCTTCCTGTAGTTCACTTTATGGTGTAATGCGCGACAGAGTTACGCGTCCGACGCGTCCCGGCTACCGACTCGTTCGCCTACCGTGAGAGCCTCTTTTCTTCGGTAGGTCAGCCTTCGCCTTGCGCGCGACAGGCTCGATTGTATTATACAACCGGTACAAGATGTTTCCGTTGTTTAACACCCACCCGACTCCAACTCGAATATTTCTTCCTTAGAGAAACATACCACTCCTGTGCTTGTGGCATATCCTAAGAGACTACTCCAATAATTGGAGTCCAATTCCACTTCGCTCGTTATGAAGATAGTCAGAATTAACAAGAATATGGCATGCGCCGACGAAGTTTAACTCTACACTCTTTGTATAAAATATCAGATCTTCTCAGGAATTTCCTGACAGGGAACCAAATGAATAATTTGAAATGAGCTTTTAGCAATGAAACTTGCATGGGGAGCGAAGAACGCGTTTTACACTTCCTATCTCACCAGCTTCGCGAGCCTACGCGAGATCGGTCACGCGCCTTGCGCGAAATGACGATTTTCACGGGCCACTTTTTCGCGTTGTATAAAATCTATTTTTACTTCGTGTGATTCGCGTAGTACACTAGGCGTAAAACTGTGATACATGTAATACGGGTGCATATCCATTCAGTGGATTCCATTGTGGATCGTGATATTCGGCTGACTGTGAACGCCTCCGGGAGAATCCACCAAAAACGGAATGCACCTTTTCAACCTCTATTTCAACATTAAAAACTTCAATTTCACCAGGCGAGCGAGTTCGTGTCCCAAGATACCCCTATTGGAACTCCAATTTCGACGGTGCTCGGTTTAGGGAACTTCAATTTCGTCAACATATCGGTTTAGGAACCTCATTTTCGACAAACAGATTTAGGAACTCCGATTTCGAAATAATAGTAGCTTCTTTTTCGCAAATAGGAACATCAATTTCGGGCATCATGGTAAATCACAGCTCCAGCTCAGGAGGAGACAGCTCATATTCGGAAGGATGCAGCTCGAACTCGGAGGAAACACAGAATGCCACTCCTCCAGCGAATCGACGAGGTCCATACACACGATCTCGCTCTTCGACACGACGTCGCATCGTGAGAGCTGCGAATCAAGGGC